TGTTGTTGCTGCTCAAGAGTTTGCTAACGCTTCTTCAGCAAAGTGTGGATTTACTTCACCAATATTACAACCAACAGCGGAGACGCGTCATATACAACATATAATCGTCAATTCCAAGGTACGGTTTACTAACAAGGTGACAGCGCCAACTACTGGCCTGGCATACGTAATACAGCGTTTTTGGCCGGATGTGTGTAAACGCGAATCGTTTTGAAAAAGTTGTCGTGCATACGTGAAACTTTTTAAAAACGCAAGGGAAAAACTTTTCCATTTTTGACTACACCGTTGTCGTGTAAACGTAGCCTCAGAGTGGCCACAGGCAGCGACTTTAAGGCATCTCAGAGGCTGTCGTTACAGAAGTTAATTAAGAAAGAGATCAAACAGGCACGCTGTCAGCTGCCCCCCTCTGATTCAATGTGGCCGGGCGCCAAACACCGGGAATATGGAGAAGTTTAATCAGACTCAAACCAGTCGAGACATGCTTGACATGGCCTCCACTGAGTTTATTCAAGGTGATGCAGGGAGCACTTCTGTCCAGAAATGGAGATATTTCATAGTGTTGATGGTTTTACTGTTATTCCATAAATGTGGAAATAAGTGCACATGCTTAAACAGCAAACAAATATAACTCCTTGTGTTTTTTTCACCCCCTCACAGTAACTTGCAAACAAAGGACAATGAGCAGCATCACAAAAGGCTTCACCTCTTAAACGAGTGTGAACTTCCTGAAGACCCGTGTGATCTCAACAATGGTGGCATTTTGCATTCAAAGCATGCCTTGAGATGCTATACTGTGATGGTCTCAAGAGTGTCAGCGGCCGAAAAGCAGCTGTTGTGTCCATCAACGCGTCTCCTGTGGAGCTCAGCTCTTCTCTTTTACTTGATCAAACAAAATAGCTCTCCAAAAACAAAAAACTAATTCGATAATTGACAACAGGTGGCTATGCCACAACTCAGAGAGGAGATTCATCTTGGCCTAATGTGGACTTGAAGTAGCTATGCAAAGAAGATAACAAGAATCATTCATTAAAGCAACAACAACATCATGGTTGGGTCCCATGAAAACAATGTTTTTGCTTTTGGGTTGAAATATGGCTAGGACTGATCCACTGATCATTTTAGTAGTTTACTCTTTAAAATACTAAATTTATAGCAAATGGAAACAAAGTACAAACAAACAACATTATAAGTGACTATGAAATGCCTTAAATATTAATGCAAGTATTGGTAAAAGTCTACCAGACGGAGCCAAACTACTGTAAACTACAGAACAACTAGAATCTTCTGAATATTTTCAAATAAAGATCATTTTGCTAAAAGTTCTGTGTTTGATTCTGACAAAAACATACATAACAAAAAACTTCTGGACTAGTCAGACAAAATTACAATAGTAGGTTTCAAGTCTTCTCATTCATAATTTATGAGACATTGTTTTCCCTTTTCTCTTGTTGGAGTGACGTTTAAAAAGACCATGAAGTAAATGATTATGATAATATGATCACGATTACAAAACAAATGAAAATGTCAAATATGTTATGGGAAACATATTCAATCACATAGATTTCAGTACAACACAGCAACTGAGATATAGCTAAAACATAACTGAATAAACAAATAGCCCTGATGGTCGCAGAGTCACACCTTTACATTGCATAGTGGGGGATATTTCTTCCCAGACTGTCTGCGATTAGCATATGAAAGACAGGAGATGGATCCCCTTCGTCCCCGAGATCAAGCAGTGCCCTCAAGTACCTGTGAAATGTCTCTACCCTCCACCCTTTTATCTTAAAAGTCTTCACGCAAATCTTCATTGGGCCCCGAGGCCCATCCCTCCCTCCAACAATGACCAAAGCTATCTCTATCAGTCAAAAACTGCTAAAGTTTCCTATCGGAATTTCTGTTACACTCTTAAAAAAAAACGAAGGTTCTTTATGTTTACACGGCGTTTTAAATCATGGCGGGTGAGGGCGTTTTCGTACGCGTTTGGCCAATCAGTGTCTACTTACGTCACGATTAGTACCAGTTGTGCTGGTTAGACCCTGCTCCGGAGTAGGAGCTAATTTGGTTCTCGAAAAAGGCAGTCCGGTACTAAAATCGCACCCAGTTCCGGTGGTGCGAAAACGCCAAAAAGTGGGTCATTCCACAATCAGTTCTGGTACTATGAAAAGGTTCCCGTGGTGCGAAAGGCCCTTATATCTTCATTCATCCTAGCTTTATTCGCTCATGTTTTCTAGCTCCTCTGCCTGTTCCTGTCATCTTCAGCTACTGTCCTCCTTCATCATCCAAATGTGAGCTGCTGTGCTCAGCGGTGAATGTGGGTCGGGTGATTCTCTCCTGGTACAAAGAAAACCGTTTATTGTCCAGCATCAGTGTGTCTGATCTCAGCATCAGTCTCTCTCTGCCTCTGGAGGTGGAATATCAGGATCAAAACCCCTACAGATGTGTGCTGAACAATTCATTCACTCAGCAGACTCAACATCTGGACATCAGTGAACACTGTCACACATGTTCAGGTACGGTAGTGCTGATATTAGTTTATTAGTTGATTTTGCTATGTATTTAGCATGTATTTCATGTTTTTACTCCTCAGGCGCAGTGCGCGGTTGTGATACTGTTCAAGCTGTGATCCGATTGGTCGTCACTGCTCTAGTGGGCGTGGCTGCTGCGGCTGCCGTTGTTGTTCTGTATTATGACATTAGATCCAGAAGAGCTGAACAGAATCAAGCACATTCTCCCATATCAGCAACCTAAATGATGTGGTTATTTCTGATTAACTTTTTTGTCATTTATAAATGATCATTTATTTTCAAAGGCTTTGTATATTTATCTGCTCGTATCGATGTTGATTTATCAGCAGCTCATTTACACCCTAGAAGATTTGAGAATAAAAAGCAATACAAGTATCAAATGCAAGTATTTGTCATAATAAATACAGAGATTACTAAAGATTGGGGTGGGGGGTTAGGGCAATTGGTAACAGTTAACCAAGCCCAGGCCCGGTTCTACAGGGTGTTAAGAGTGTGCTAAACTATCCAGTGCGTATTTGCATTGTGATGTAAATAAAAGATTAATTGTGCAGTTTAGAGAGTTTCATTGATTATAATGGAACTTTGTGAGATTGTGATGAAGTAAGATGAGTGACAGCTTTTAGTGATTATAAAGGGAGCACACTTTGTGTGTGTTATGGGTCCCGGCCGCAGAACACGAAGGCAGATTAAAAGTACCTGAATTATCAGGAGAAACAAAAGCACATGCAAACTTCAGTAGGCGCGTTTCCATTACCCTTCAAATTGTGCAAATTGAAATTGCGCCTAATGGAAACGCGTCAATTTCGCAAAAACGCCCATATATCGCAAAAAAGTTTTTACGCTCGCATGAGGTGGTTTTTCAGGCAATGCGAAAAATGAATAATTCGCAAAACTGCAATGGAAACGGCTTTTTCGCATTTACAGGTCACATGGCATCTGATCATTCTTCAATGTACTATAACCTCCAAGAAACACTTCATACGTGGCCTCTCTCCAGTATAAGGGGCTTTTCCTACCATTAATACTTAGACAGTTTACACTGCATACGTCTGCGGTGCAGTGTGGCTCTGATACGGTCACTGAAGCTGATTGTGGCCACTCAATGCTTGTGTTTATGTTTTTATATAGTCTATGGTTTATTCCAGCCGCGCCACGCACGCTTCTGAAGCGGCTCTCTTTGCTGCTTCTGTAAAGATACACGCATAAGCCTCCTTTGAATAAATATAGCCAAAATCCGTCAAAATCCCACCAAAATCCGTTGCCATGACTTATCGCGAGAGGCAAAAGGTTACGTTTAATTCGCATAACTGGTTAATGGAAACGCCGTCATTTCGCAATACTTTTTTATCGACATTTATAAAATATCGCCAAAGTTTTGTGCAAATCTGTAATGGAAACGCGCCTAGTGTCTTTCCAGAGGCGCAGCTTGGTAGCGTCTCTTTATTTGCTCTTTTGTTAGTTTTGACTGCTTCTGTTGTCTGCTAAATGACTAAATGTAAATGTATTAACATTAACATCATAGTAACAGTATAATATCAATTATATCATCAATGCTCCGCAATGTCATTCTCAGGTAGACCATCCAGCTACATTTCATATAATCACAAATTATGTTAATTTAATAAAACACAGTTATGTACTCTTTTGTATTTGTTTACAACAATAAAATCTTCAAATGCTCATTTCCTGTATTTACTCTTGTTTTATAAAACACATCTTAACATAACTCCTTTATAATAATCAGCATGCAGCAAAAGACACATTTAAAGGGGTGGTTCATTGCGATTTCACTTTTTTAACGTTAGTTAGTGTCTTATGTTGCTGTTTGAGCATAAACAATATCTGCAAAGTTACAAAGCTGAAAGTTCAATGCAAACGGAGATATCGTCTTTTAAAATTTTGGCAGTTTAATGCCTACAAAAACGGCTGGTAGGAACTACAACGAGTTACTTCCCGGGTTCGTGACATCACAAACCCAGATAAACCCCGCCCCCGGGAACACGCAACAAAGGGGGCGAGGTCATGTTGTGATGCTTTAGAGAAGAGGAAGAGAAAACTATGGGTGCACGTAAAAATCTATTCATATATGAATCTCGATTCTGTCTTCTAACACACTTGACACAAATTATCAGTCACTCTCATAAACTATATACATTACTCTAAACAAATATACATTTACATTTTCTGAGTCGTTTTCTGTTTAATTATCACATACTGAAATAAATTTATTATTATTTACAGAAGAAGCGATTGCAACATGCAACACAGACCAACTGTCATTTTACTGGTACTTTCATCTGGGTGACTATTAAAGTCAAACTATAACAAAAATACAAACGTATTGTCCGCACACTGATGTAACTGCTCCATAAAAATAATTTATTGCTGCAACGTTTCGACCATCAGGTCTTCGTCAGGCACAAATTACGTGAACTGGTACAACTCTTTATAAGTAACAGGTGATCATTCTAATTAGACACATTCAATCACTATACAGGTACATTCCCACAAAAAAAAACAGAAAGAGAGAGAGCGAACGAGAGAGCGAGAAAGAGGGAAAAAAAAAACCTGCATTAAATTCGAATAAATATACAAAATAATACAGGTACAAATCTTAAACTCGAATAAACAATAATCACTCAAAATATTCAAACAATACTGAAGACCGATGAAAAAATATACACAATCCTATAGAAAAGGCTTATTGTACCTTCTCTATACCAATATACTGTAAGGCACTAACATTGTGTCCCACTTTGTTAAAATGAGATGCTATAGGACTGCGTTCAACTCCCGTCCTAATATTACTCCGATGTTCAGTAATGCGGGTGCGTAATGATCTAGAAGTTTTACCAACGTAAGCGAGACCACACGGACAACGAATAAGATAAATCACATGTGTAGTGCGGGTGCGAGAAGTTTTACCAACGTAAGCGAGACCACACGGACAACGAATAAGATAAATCACATGTGTCACATGTGTATTAATTGTACCGCGTATCAGTATGTTACGACCAGTGTGTGGATGGCTGAAAGATTTACATTTATATGTAAAAGTACACTGGGCACAATTGCCGCATCTATAATTACCAGGAGGAAGAGTAAGAGTGACAGGTTTCACTACACTAGACGGGAACTCCGATCTTACAAGCATGTCACGCAGGTTACTTTGACGTTTAAAAACCAAACGGGGGCCATCCTTGAAAACATGAGACAATTTAGAATCACTAGAAATAATATGCCAATGCCTGTAAAGAACCTTACGAAATTCTGCACCTAATGCTGAATACCTAACCGAACAAATAGGGCTATTGCCTAGTTGTGTTTTATTGCTCGTAGCACGTAGACACTGTGTTTGAGATGTATCATCAAATTTCCTCTTAGGTTCTTCTATCCATTCCCTACGATAACCTCGATGTAGAAATCTTGAAGCCAAATCAGCAGA